CCAAGAATGCTACCCTGAGGAACTCCTGCTCTAACAGGTAGTCGATTAGATTTGGAATTTTGATAATTTACCTGCAGAGTTCTGTCAGTTAAATAATTTTGAACTAATTTCATAATATAAAGTGGAAAATTAAACTTTTTCAATTTAGCAATCAAACCTTCATGCCAAACACTGTCGAATGCTTTTTCTATGTCTAGAAGAGCAACTCCAGTTGAGTGGCCTTCAGATTTGTTTGAACGAATTAAATTGGTAACTCTTAAGAGTTGATGAGTAGTTGAATGCCCATGGCGAAATCCAAACTGCTCATCTGCAAAAATTGAGTTCGTATTGATGTGAAGCATCATTCTATTCAAAATTATCTTTTCAAAAAGTTTACTTATTGAAGAAAGCAAACTTATTGGGCGGTAGCTAGAAGCTTCAGCTGGATTTTTATCCGGCTTCAAAATTGGAACAACTTTTGCATTTTTCCATTTATCAGGAAAGTATGCCAAATGGAAACATCTGTTAAATAATTTTACCAAGAAAGACAAGGTACTCTCTGGGAGTTTTTTGATGAGGATATAGAAAATTCCATCATCACCTGGAGCTTTCATATTTTGAAAATTTTTAGTTATAGACCTTACTTCGTCCAAATCAGTCCCCCAGGAATCATCAAAAATATTTTCCCGAGAGAAAATATTCAGAAAATCCCGAGCAACCTGATTCTCAATAGGACTAGTAAGACCCAAACTGAAATTATGGGAACTCTCGAATTGCTTAGCAAGTTTCTGAGCTTTTTTCCAAATTTGTGATCAAAATTTTACCACCTTCTTTAAGCGCTGGAATAGGCTTTTGGGGTTTTTTCAAAATTTTTGTGAGTTTCCAAAAGGGTTTGGAACTCGGGTCTAATTTAGAAATATTATTTTCAAAAGTTTTGTTCCTCAGGGCAGAGAATCGCTTTTTAATTTGTTTTTGCAAATCCCGCCAGATAACCTTCATGGCAGGATCGCGTGTTCTTTGATATTGTCTCCTACGGACATGTTTAAGCCGGATCAAGAGATGAAGATCGTCGTCTATTATAATTGAATCGAATTTAACCTCGCATTTTGGTACTGAGGCAGCTCTTGCTGCAACTATAGAAGTAGTCAGAGATTCAAGAGCATAATTAATTTCATCTTTGGTTTGCAAAGGAATGTTTGGATCGAAGTTATATTCCATAAATTTTCGATACTGCTCCCAATCAGCTCTATGGTAATTGAAAGTAGAGCTGTTGAGATAACAAATTATTTCTTGGGATATTTCAAAAGTTACTGGAAGGTGATCAGAACCGAAGTCAGCATTGGTAACCAGTTGGCTACAAAATTGACATGAATCAGTTAAGACTAAATCAATAGTGGAGGGATTTCTTGCAGAAGAAAAGCATGTTGGGCTGTTTGGATATTGAATAGTGTAATAACCTGCAGAACAATCATCAAACATAATATTACCATTGGAATTGCTTTGAGCATTATTCCATGAGCGGTGTTTTGAATTAAAATCACCAATAATGAAGAATTTAGACCTATGACGGGTAAGTTTCTGGAGGTCACCCTTGAGAAAATTCTTTTGCTGGCCTACGCATTGGAATGGCAAATAGGCAGCTATAAACGTAAGTTGTCCAAATTTTGTTTCAACAGAAACTCCCAAAGTTTCAAAAACTTTGGTTTCAAATGAAGAAAGAATTTTATGTTTGATTCGTCTATGAATAATGATGGCAACGCCACCACAGGGTCCATCAAGACGATCATTTCTATAAATCAAGTAATTTGCGTGCTTCTTAACCTTATGGTCAGGTTTAAGGAACGTTTCAGTTATAACGGCAATATGCACGTTATGAACTCGCAAAAAGTTAAATAGCTCGTCTTCATTATCTTTAAGAGATCGAGCATTCCAATTTACAATATTTAATGCTTTAAAATCCATTACTGAATTTTAAAGTCATGACAATATTATTTGCAAATTTTACTCCAGTTTGAATAGCATCAAACATGGAGTTAGATTTAAGCATATCAGAAATCATGTCAATTAATGATTTCTGTAAAAATTCCATTTTAGGGGCAGTAATGCTTCCTAAATCAAAATTGTCAAAATTTCCGTTAGAATTACTTTGGTTAGTATTTTGATTTCTACCCGCTGCAATAGCAGCATAGGTAGCTCCATTAACTCGCTGAACATTGTTAGCAGCGAGGGGAGTAGGTACAGATGAAAAATTTGAAGCAGGTGTGATATTTGTACCTACGGGTACGAATGTAGAATTTGTTCCTCGCTGACCGTTGTTAACAGCAGAGGAATTTGTACCTGGTCGGAAACGTGGAGCGTTTCTTACCTGTCGGTTAGAACGAGATTGTAGGATCGCTTTGCGAGTCTTACATTCCCAAAAATTGGATTTGTGGTTTTCACCACAATTTGAACATTTAAATTTCTTAGCATCTTCCTTCACAGGACAGTCGTCCTTTGCGTGAGAGGAATCACCACAATTCATGCATTTAGCTGGCATGTAGCAATTTTTAGTTCCGTGACCCCATCCCTGGCACTTGCGGCACTGAGTGAGGTTTTGGAAATTTTCACTCCCACTTCCAACTTCACTCGGACATGGAGCATAAGGCTAGTTTTTTCTAAGGCCTTAAGGTTGTTCAGTTAACTAGACTTGAAGTGAACTAAATAAAAATCATTAGAAATCCCGTTGCGCGAATCGCCAGGACGGGATTTCATTTTCATTTTGATTACTTGGAGTGGCACAACTCCAAGTAATTTTGCCAGTTCATCTTTGATCTGATCAAGGGATTCACCACTGGGCAGTCCTTTCATGACAACCTTGAACACACGTTCAGTTTTGGTGTCGTAAGTAAAAAATTTGTGCTTCTTCTCAGTAAGATACTTGAGAAGACATTTAAATCCGTCCAAGGTTTCAGCCAATACACGGCATTCACCCCGACGTCCAATTTTTAGTGAAAACTCAACTTTCACGAAATTCAAAAGTTCCATGCGAAGAGCATGGAAATCGGAAGTGGTTATCACAATAGGGGGAATCATTTCCTTCTTGGCATTAAGCCGGGAAAGTTTACTAGAATTTTTCTTGGATGAAGGATCATTCTCATCATCCGTGAGCAAATCAAATTGATTACTCAAATTAATTTCATCAGAAGGGGGGTCAAGAGTTTGCCCCTTTCTTTTGCGTTTAGGCGCCACGGCGGCAGTAAATTTTTATCCAAATCGACTTCCAAGCAGATTACTATAAGAATCTGAAGGATCGAAGAGGAATTTCCCAAATCGATATCCAAGAAGGATTACCTCGGGTAGGGTCCAAACAAGGATCGAAGAGGAATAAAGTTGAACAAGGTAGAAATTTTACAGGTTGAGCACTGAAAAGTGCTGTTTAAATTTGTTGTAGCTTTAGGTAGTAGTAACACTTCCTTCAGCAAAAAGCAAATAGATCCGCACGGCAAGAGAGCACGATGCGGACTGAAAAAAAAAAAAAAACTATCAATGTTACCCCGTTTTACGTTACTACAGTTAAAAAGAAAAAAAACAACGTAATAAGGTGTACAATTATTCTACTAAAACGCTCATCATTTAGAAACTAAAAATATTTTTTTTTACAATTAGTTTATTTGTTAGGCTCAAATGTCCAAAAGGACTCCACGGAGCCGAGAAGCATTATATAACTTTATAATTGCAATAAAATATTAATGAGGGGCATTGTTTATGAGTTCTTCTTGCTCTTTCTTGGAGACGACTTGAGTTTAACTTCCGCTTTCATCCGTGCCCTCAACTCCCTTGCTTCTTCCAACTGTTTTTCCTCCAGCAGCGCCCACAGCTTGGCCTCCCCTCCGTTCTTTATCCGCTCCTTCTCGGTGTAGTCCACTGTCCCTAATTTGTACTAGTAGGGTTAAATACCCCATTTCCAGCTTATTAAGCACAACCAGCACTTAATCTTTCTTAATCTAGCTCAGTTTAGCACCAAACGGAATGTTATTATTACTGATGGCTTCCAAATTTATTTACCTTTCCGTATGTACCGTAAGATTTGATAAAGAGAAACCAATCGTTGAGATATTTTCAAAATTCTAACACTGCTTCTGGACGCCAAACTCGGCCTACGGATTCTAAACTCGGCCTAATGTATTGAAACACCAATGAATTCACTTCGGCCTATCGGATGAAGATACAAATTGATACGGTCGGAAGGCTTCTTTTGTTTTTGGGAATAATGAGTGCAAACCTTCATATCATGCGTTCTCATTGACTTTATTCCGTAGCTTATTAACTAAAGTATCGTACCAAACGCATAATTGACTTGTTAACTCTGAAATCATGGATTTATTTGAAGTTTTCTGCTCGATAGGCCCAAAATGGGCGATTAGGCCGAAGTAGTTCTTTACCCTAATACTCATAATTTTGCACCTGAAAACAGGCGGCTGCTGTTTCTCAGCAGCTCTTGCTTCCTCTCCACTGTTCTTCTCGGTTTCCGGGGACATAACATCCATCACCACCATCTCTTCTTCCAGTTTCTCCAACCGCTTCTCGAATGTGAAATGAAGCAAATATTAATGCTTTTTAATATTGTTCGAAAATGTAGCTGGTAGGTGGATTAATCAGGGTGGTTGCCTTTTGGTTTGCGTGTAACCGGCAGACCACCGAGCAGTTGAGCTAATTATGCTCCGCAAAGATGTATAACATAAGTAACCGAAGAAAATCAATGAACCAGGAATAGGACATTGGATCCGAAAAGGTTAACCCACTGTCAAGTTCATGATCGTTGTATTAACGTGCTCATAACGCTAATTCCTAACGACATCGATTCGACACAAAAGGTATGCTTCCAAAATCGGTGGTTGTGGCACGTGCGAAGAATTAATATCTTATGTTCGATTTATTGGAATTATCTCCCACTTGGCTGGGGTAATAACTTTGTATTGTTTGTGCGCTCGAACGCTTGAAAGTATAAAAACTCCGCCGGTCCGAGCAACAATTATCATTCGTTAGCATTGTGCTGTTCTTGTCATTACTTAGCCTGCCGAGTCCTCTCAAAATAAATCATTATCAAAATGTTCAAGATCGTAAGTAGCTCTCTTCCATCTGTGCATCATTAATTTCTGCATCACCAAATGCTAATGATCCTTGATGGTGTCTATATTTGCAGATTGCCCTGTTCGTCGTCGTTGCCTGTGTTGCCTCGGTTTCGGCCAAGGCTGACCCCAAGCCCCAAGGTGTCTTTACGTACAGCGCTCCGGTGGTTGCTACGACTGGTTATGTAGCTGCTCCGGCCACAGCAACCGTCTTCGAGCAGTCCTTCCACGGAAACTTTGCACCCGCAGTCTACGCTGATGGCACCTACCTGGCCCCTCCGTTGGCATACTCGTATTCGGCCTATGATCCGTTCGTTGCCGCTGCCGCTCCAGTCACTGTTCTGCTCAAGTAGAATGTAATAGTGTACTGTGGCGTCTAGATCTTGGAAGCTGTGATTATTAACCTGATGCACAATATTGATGATAACTTTGTTGAAAAATAGATTAAACGGATGAACTGAACCTTGATATCGGACAATTATTGCTGGATTTCCTTGAATGCCTTTAGAAAATTTATTATCTAGAATCCCTACCTCTGAATTGATCTGCCTGCAGCAGAAAACTTTTCCCATCGGTTTCCGTTTAGTGCCAATGGTCTGTTTGCTCAGAATCGATAACCAATATTCACAACCAGGATTGGATGGAGTTTTCCATAATCACCGAAATCGAAACCTCTGGGAAACGTCAGCGAGACAGTCGAAGACGCATTGCATTCGAGTTGAAACAATCAATCAATCCGTCGGTATCGAATTTCAATGTGTACTTCTTTATGAATGCCGTATGAATTGAATAGAGACGAATTGCTTTATGTCGATATTGTTCCAATAATAACCCACGGGGGGTTCTCTTGGCAATTCCTCGAAGAGTTCCATCCCGGATGGAACGTGCACGCTGCAAGGTTTCAAATCACATGTTGGAGGCACATCTTCGAAACCACACGAAAGGAAATGTGCTTCGGATGGTGTCTTCCGTGGAACTCGCGAATAGATATTGAATTTCCCATGGTACACTTACTGCTGGTTGCAGGAGGATGGGAATTTTTGTTTTGTTGTCAAATGGCAGTGGAGGCATCTTTAGAACTGAAGGAATATAAATATAAATTGCTAATGAAACCTTTGTACTGAGAATTTATCTTCTGAAGAACAGGAAAGAGTTACATCGTGTAACGCAGTGGTTTTCAACCGGAGGATTTTCACCATCATAGGAGTGGAATTGTGCTTGAGAAAATATAAGACGTTCCTTCAAGTTTTTGGCCTATGTTGACCATATTGTTGAAGGTATATAGGGAGAGATCAAAATGTATAGAAATTGAGACGAATGGCTGTACAAAGAGTTAAAATTCCTTTAAACAATGTATCTTATTTTGATTGCTTAAGGAAAACTAATTGCCACTATCAAAGCTCAGAACAGGAAAAGCATGCCAATTACCATTGGCCTGCCACGCCCATCAGATGCTACGGAGTTGTATAGTTGGGTAGGAGATGGGTCAGGATTCGCTTTAGCGGGCGATGCGACCACAATAATTGTTTGTTTGCCTATATCAACTCATCTAAAAACATGAAGGCCCCAGGTTAAGACCAAATTCTGAACCTGGAACTCAAACACTTATGTGCCAGTTTCTTCAACCATCCCCATCCGAAAGCCTGGGAAAGATCCATCCTCTGCTTCAAGTTAGCGACCCATCAGTCTTCTCTTAGGATTATCTAAGCTGCTCGAAAAGGCAGTCTACCACCGGCTCCTAGCATCTGCTGATGAAAACAACTTGTTGCTCGAAGAACAGTTTGTGTTCCGTAAAGGTCGCTCAACTATTCACCAGCTGACTCGGGTGACAAACATTTTCAGACGGAACAAGTCTGTATTCAAAACATCTGCCATGACATTGATGGACGTTGAAAAAGTGTTCGATAATGTCTGGCCTACAAAGTGCAGCGATAGGGTCTTCCAATTTTCCTTGTGAATATCATTCAAGGACATTCCAAGTCTCTCTGAATGGCATCACATCGGATGCCTTCAACGTCGGTGCGGGTGTTCAACAAGGAGGCATCCTTGTATCTATCTTGTTCAACCTGTTCACCTTCGATATGCCAGCTCTCCCTGACGGTGGATCATTGTCTCTGTCCACAGATGACACATCCATCGTCTATAAGGGTAGGGTCGTCGGAGCTCTGACCGCCAAACTTCAGAGAGGACTGCATGTTCTGCCTGATTATTTCAACAACTGTAAGATCCAATTAACGAGATGAAGACCCAGCTCATCATATTTCCTCATTCTAAATCTCCCAGACTTGTTCCGTCTGAGAATAATAAGATCAACTTAAGGTGACTCGCTGCGACATATTTATTCTCGGAACCACTTCGAAATTTAACTGCACAAATATCAGCTTCTACGACACGTGCAACATTCAAATTATTACTCCACGTTTGCTGCATTTCCGCATACATGAAATAGCAATTTCAGGTGAAATGGGGCACCGATTTCCGAGATTTGTGTAATTGAAAATTCGAAGTGGAAGTGCATGTATAGCCTACGTGGCAGCCATTTGTGGACTCTAGAAGGAATCACCTTAAACGGCACAGTGGTGTAATGGTCCAAAGAGGTAGTCTATCTCGGCCCTACACTCGCCAGCAAGTTGATTTTTAGGGAACACGTTGACAAAACGAAAACAAAATGCAACATACTGATAAGATCCCTGTATTCGCTCATCAACAGGAGATCCACTCTGTCCACGTACGCGAAATTCTGAGGTCCACCGCCTGGCTGGTCTTCAGACTTTAGAAGAGCGAAGAACGATCTTCTTGGAAAGGTACAGAGACACCTGTCTGAGATCAGATCATCAGATCATACGTGATCTAGCACGTTAGGTTAAGTCATACTTGTAGTTAGGTAGGTTATCAAATTTTTCAATTAAAACAAAATACACCCCCCCCCTCAGGAAAGAAAACCTTACCTAAAAGTACTACGTGTGTGTGGATACAATCCATGTCCCACTGACTGGCAGTGCTTTTATGGAACAAACCTGCCTGCACCTATTTGTTGATGTTGGAACAAACCTGCCTGCACCAATTTTAACCGATAGATGCAATCATTTTTAGCCCTGGAGATGAAAGGTGATAGCTCTATTGTAAATCCAATGACCCATTTCAAGAATGCCTCTTCATACACGTACAATCCGGGGACCATCTTCATATACAATAAGCTCCGCATGAACGCATTCACATATCAAGTGGATATCTGAAGTGTAGTGACAGTTTCAGAATAAAAAAAATCTAATTCGATTCTGGCACGTATTTAGTTATCAAGTTATAGTTGCAATGTATATGGATAAACAGAAATAATTATATGCTCATATCACTTAGCACTGCGACAATCACTAGGGACACGTGGGATTTGATAATTATCACTTGAAACACTTTTTAAGTGGTATTATGCATTAAATTTAACGTTTTCTAGAAGAAAATAGTAATAATTATAATTTTTGCAAGAGCTTAAACGACGCAGCAAAACAAAAACACGTCATTTTCGCAGTGCGGCCTACTTCGATCACAAGAATACCCTACCTAGAAGTACTAGATGAAAAACGCAAACTTTAAATAAGAATATCCAATTAAACAAAGATGAAGAGCCAGATAGGCTAATCAATTGAAATTTTAAATCAATGTACAATCTTAATCAACAGAAATAAACATAAGTTTTCTACTTAATTTTACTACTACTACGGTAATTGTTTTATTTTGGAGGAGCTGGGATTAACCCCACGATCTTCTACTCAGTAAGCAAAAGCAGCAGTCGCCAAGCTAGCCGAGCTCCCCAATTTAAATTTCAATCCTGTTTAAAATAAATAAAATACACCATAAAATACGCCATGAGTGATAAAAACACTTGAAAGGATACGCACTTTCGGGGGCCACTTGGCCAGTTCTGAGGACTATACTGCCGTTATACGCATAAGAGTCCCACGGTGCATAAGGATTGCATAGAACATGGGACAGTTATGCGTAGAACGGCAGTATATGTCCCAAGTAATATTTTAAGGTTTATGAAATACTACAAAGCAACTATAAAACAACATTCACGAAACCCTGGTCAAGGCTATTTTGTTTATGTACGGATTATTACGCCGCCAGAGAGCGACTTTTGAATACCCTCGAGGCCCAAGGAAGACAACCCTATATCCCTATCAGAGACGTGTTGAGAACTCGCGATATCTGCTATATGCAGTCGGTTTATGTGTTTCTTCAGATGTCTAGTATAAGAATTTAATTCCTCTGTCTTTTGTCTATCTTTAATAGTTTTTGTTTGTCTTGTCCCCCCGTCTCGATGAGTCTCATCATCGCCCACTGGTCACCATAGCCAGTCGAACTCCAGACGAAACTAGAACCGCACTACCATTCGTACTGGCGACAACACTCCTCCCCTGATCCTATCCTTCGACAATGTACCTCTCTAACCTCGAGTAAGCCGCGAGTATTCGGCTCAACTTCTACTAGACATAGAATTAAGTGAATTTTGTTACAAACAAAGAACAATGAACTATCGGCTCCGTAAAACTAACGCGATTGAGCCTACCAAATAAACGAACTAGTTAAAAAAAGGATATTTTGTCATTAATGCATCCACTAAAACGTCATTAAGACTAGAATATGTCTAGTTGGCCCACCCTGGAGAAGGTTCTGAAGGGTGTATTCTCGAAGCTCTTTAAGATTGATTTACTGCAAAAAGTTGGTATGACGTACGCATTGAGAACCATTTGAAAGCTACAACAAAAGCTATTTAGCAACAATAAAAACCCTTTCCGAACCATTTCCCCTAGCTACTTGCTAAATCCACTAGAAAAGCATCAATCAAGAATAGAAAAGGATTTATGAATCCGATCTTATCAAAATAATTAAATTAGAAACTGATGGTACAAAAACCTTGTTGAATAAACAAATTTAGTGCCTTATTAAATGTTATGTGAAATGTACGTGAAAGCATCGAAAAAATAAGTCCGCCCTCGTAAAACGTCGATTTAACTAATTATTTTACATTGATAAAAAAAAAATATTCTTCAGATCGAGCTAGACCGAGATTGTTCTTTTTATGATTTTCGCATTTAAATGTTTGCTCATTGCTAAATTTACCAAAAATATAGTAATATCCAAGGAACTGTAGATTGAAAATCGAAGGTTGTAAAAAAAACAAGCAAACTAATTGTATCATGGCGGTGGCATGAAATTTGATTTGCGTGAGTCATTTGTGAAAAAGTTGTTTTGCTTTCAAGAAATCCTTAACAAAGGTTTTAAAATGGCTTTTATGAAGAAAACTTGCAGTCTGAACTGTATTTATCTAAAGCCATTTTGCTTGATCCTAACTCGTTCAGATTTATGGTAGCATCTATGGAGGCAAAGTTGCCTGCAAAAAGTTAACCTTAAAAGTTTGTTTATCTTTCGATATTTAAAGGGTGTCCACGATGAGATTGCCACACACAAA